GGAAGTCCAACCACCATATTTTTCTGGTGTAACAGCTGCAGGCTTCTTTGATTCAAATGCCCATATCTTAAATGCCATAACAACGATCCATCAACTTTTTCTGCTTCTAGAGCAAAGTTTTCCTTTGATGTCATCAGCAGCGGAAAAACTTTGTTTGCTGTCATTTTTATCTTTGCCACTAGAGTGTTATTCTTTTTATCAGAAATAACACAATAATCATCTTCAAATTTCACCAAGAATCCTCTTTGCAAAAGTTGTCCCACACTTAGTAAATTTTGAGCCAAATTAGGAACATACAGCACATCATAGACAAGTTTTGGAGTACCTCCTTTTGTTTGCACAGAAATGATACCTTTGCCTTCCACGTTGTGTAGTTTTCCATCACCAAGCTTGACTTGTGAGTTCACTTTTTCTTCTAACTTGACAAAGCAACGCTTATTTCCTGTCATATGATTACTGCATCCGCTATCCACATACCAAATATCTTGTGAATCTTGATGAGAACTGAAAGATGTATAAAATAATTGCTCTTGAGAGTCATTTTTCTCCATAAAATTTGCTTCATTGTTTTCTGATATTTGTAGTCTCTTTGTGAATGATTGGGTATCCTGCATCGGGTACATTTGTATTGGCAATCTGCACTTTTATGCCCATATTTGTTGCAAACATAGCATTGAAGGGATGATCTTCCATTTTGATTATTTGAATTGCTGCTTCCTTGTTGATTATTGGAACTATTGCTTCCTTCTTGATGATTGGGACTGCTGCCTTGTTGTTGATTATTGAAACTGTTGTCTCCTTTGTTGGAGTTTCTACGCCCAAAATTTTTGTTTCTCCCATTTTGAGATTTCTGGAATTGTCCTCCTTTTTGTTTGTCTTCTTTCTCTTTCGAATTCACCTTGGACTGGAAAGCTTGCTCCACAGATTGTTCTGTGGATCTGTTGATTCTTTTTTTCATGTGCTTCCAATGAACCAATTAATTCATGTAAAGAAAGTGTAGATAAATCTTTTGATTCTTCTATTACAGCAGCGACATGATCATATTTTGGCGGTAGACTTCGTAAAGTTTTCTCTACGATTTTCTTGTCTGGAATAGTGTCCCCATAACATCTGATTTGGTTCACAATCCCAGAAACCTTTGTGAAGAATACTTGAATGGATTCACTGTCTTTCATAAGTAAGTTATCAAATTCCCGCCATAAGGATTGCAGTTTGATGGAGATCACTTTTTCTGAACCTTTGAACTCAATTTTGAGAATTTCCCAAGCCTGCTTTGATGTTGTTGCTGGAAGTAATATTGGAAAGAGATTTTTGCTTACTCCTTGTTGAATTAGAAACAACGCATTGGCATCTTTTTTCTTATTTTCCTTGTAAGTCTGCTGCTTTTCTTGTGTTTCCTTTCCTGCTTTTGATGTTTCCTGCTCCTCATACCCATCTTCAACAATATCCCAAAGATCCTAGGAGATAAACAGAGT